CACGTGTGTACACAGGCCCCGCGCGGCGTGCGCGCCGTGAGTCCCGCCGCCTTCTCCTCGGAGCCCCGAGCTGCCCGCCCCGCGGCGACTGCGCCGCCTGTGGCCCAGCGAGCCGGTGAGTGGGCGCCCAACGTGTGGTCGGGGTGGGCCGGGCGCACTCGGGGTCTCGGCCCGCGCGGAGAGGGAGCCCAGGGCTGCGGCGGCCCCGTCTGGCCGGGTGCTCCGCTCGGACTCTCGGGTCCCTCGGCCCCGCCCTGGTGCTGTCCCCTCGGGGTGGGGGCGCTGTCCCCCGTGCGGAGTGCTTCCCCTTGGGGTGGGGGCCGCTGTCCCTGCGGGGCACCGTCCCATGGCGGGATGAGGGTGCTGTCCCCCGTGGGGCCGCTGTCCCCTGTGCAGGACATTGTCCCCTTGGGGGGGGTGGTGAGGGGCGCTGTGGCCGCGCTGAGCCCGGCAGCCAGCCAGGGCCAGGCGGCCGCCCTGCGGTCATTAACCTGTGGAGGGACAGCTGAGATCCGCTGCCTGTTTAGGAGGCCAGCAGCACCTCTGGTTCTTTAAGTGTCCTGTGGGACTGGCTGTGTCCTGCTGGGTCACCATGGTTATAGTTTTCGTCCCCTTTCATGATTACAACATTTTTAGTGAGTTCTGGAACTACGTGTGAATGGAGGTATGAATTCTGTTGTTAACTCTTGGCCACTTGATAAAACTATAACCCTGGGCAGAGGAAGGCTCCTTTGGGACTTTAGAGGAAGGCAGTGCTCCCAGCTGTTGAAGCCCATTACTTGCAACAAGACATCCCACACCGAGTCCCTGTCAGAAAGTGCACTCGGCTCCGGCTCTTCGTCTGGGTGTTACTCTAACCAGTCTTGGCAATGCACAGACGTGCTGGACCCGAGGGTGATTTTATATTTGAAGTCCAGACAGCATTCATCCCTCAGGTCTCCCCCTCACCAGTGAGGATGGACTCACTTGAGAGCTCCGTTCCCCTTTAGATAACCAGCTCCTTATCTTAACTGAGCAGCAGAGGTCTCCTTTCCCCTATCTTAACATGTAGCAGAGCCTAGCACTCATGATGAAAGTGGCAAGAAAACTTCCTTTGCAGCCTCTGCAAATCCAAGACGATGTATAAACGGCTCTGACACTGCTCCCAGCCTGCTCATGCATCATGGTGACCAGAGCCTCTGTCGTCCTCACTGTGTCCCAACTTGGTGCCATTGAGAGTGAAGGGTCACTATTAGTTACAGCCGGGACACGGTCCTCACTCCATGTCCGCTGCATAGCTGTTTAAGGAATGCTGTGTAGGGTCCTGCTCTCCAAGACAGAGCCTCCGGTATCTTCCTAAGTGGTGAAGGCCTCTAAAGATAACTGGCTTTTGAAAACCATGGCTTATACTTGGTGAGTGCTTACTGTGCCATGTCCTAGATAGGAAGCGGGGCTGGAACGGTGAAGCCCTGTGCTCACGGCCCTACACAGCTGAAAGGCATTTGGCCAGGGTGCCTGCATTGTCCTGCCTCTCTAGTGAGTGTGGAAATACCCTGAGGAAGGAGGGACACAGCTTTGGGGCAGAATGCAAATGTCAACGCTGCTGACTTGAAGTCCCTATAACTCTACAGCCCCCGGTAGGTTGATGACAGAAAGGTAAGTGCATCCATCCGCCTAATGTGGGTGCACATGGGGGTTTAGGTTACAATGTTCAAGCTGTATCTATTATATAATGAGAAAATGACACACTTGCAAAGATCCCAGCAGGGGAAACGTGCTAGGAAGAGGGGCATGCTGCTTTGGGGGTGGGGGTGTCTCTGTCTTAGCCCCTAGAATGTCATTTGGAATCCTGACAAAAAAACTGCCGCCTGGCCTTAAGGACCCAACCACACACCAGGGCTGTCTTTGGAGGTGGAGGGGAGTTACGTCCCAGGGACTGGGGGCTGCTCTGAGTGCACATGACAGAATCACTCTCCTTCCTGCTTAAACAGTGTTTCCCAGTATTTCCCCTTGCTGGCTGCTGGCTCCTAAGCTCTCTAAGGCTAAAGCCACTTTGCGTGACTGGGCAGCATCGGGTAGCATCTGTCTACAGGGTCTCCTAGGCCCAGGACCCCCAAACACCGCCCAGACATCGGAGGGCAGAGAATACAGAGTGAATCTTCCCGGTAATTCGAGTTGCCAAAACACAATGCTGCCGGGGAGCCGAGTTCAGTCCCCCGGGAGCCTCCACGTGCAAACACAACACCTTCGAGTGGCAGAGGGCCGGGTGTCCCATGCGTCCCCAACAGGCCCACCTTGGTTCCCTTTCCTCCTACACATGCCAGCAGAGTGTGCCCAGAAGCTTCCGGGTTTTGATTGGAGCCCAGCAAACGGAGGAAGCAACTGTTACAAGTAAAAATAACTAGCTGGCTTCTCCCCAGGAAAGAACTGTGGGTGGTGATAGGATCCGTGGTGCTGAGCACCCCCCCACCCCCAAGGTAAGAGCACACCGGGGTAGGTGGGGAGCCCAGATGGGGTGCCAGGCCTGCCCAGAGTCTGAAATGGAGCCCTGCGCTGTTTGCAGCCCTTGAATTTCTGAGCGAGCCTCTTTTTGTTTGTTTTTTTTCCCTGGTCTGCTGTACCTGGAAGGAGCACTAGCCTCAAACTGAGTTACTCAGGGAACAAAAAAGCCCAAGTAACGAGTGCCCTACGAACAAAAGGACGTGTGTCCCGTCTTCTCCAGGGAGCGGCGCTCCGCTGGCCCACTGGCCAGGGCCCAGCTGACGGGTCTCAGTGCCCCACGGCCCTTCCTGAGCCGCTCCCTCCGTGGAGAGGCGGCCCTTTGTTTACTCATCTGAGCCAGGTTGCCGGACTCACTGTCGCTACTCTGTAATTTAGAACTGTGAAAAGCAAAAGGCAACACAAATCAAAACAGTCCATCTATAGAATGAACCATTTCTTATCACACCCAGAAAAGCACAACGTTTGTGACAGGAATCTGTGTAGTAAGCGCTCTACACTGAAAGACCTATGAAAACAACAGCCTTTCCAGAGCGTCTGGCTCCCACCAGCTGGATGTTAATTGTAGCTAAAGCCTGTGCCCATTATTACAAAGGAAATAAACATTCAGGAGTCACTTTCAAAGCCTTTTGATTGTTCCAGAACATTCATCTCAGGTTGAGTCTCAGGTGTATAGCAGGTCGGCAGGACCACTGCCGGCCTCACCTCCTGTGCCCACATCCAGGTCTCTGCAGTGTCAGAGGGACACCACAGTCGGGGCCACGGTCTGCCCTCCTACTGAACGGGTCTTGTCGCTCAGCCCCAGGAGAAGGCTTTCACGCCCCCACAATGCATCTCTTCCCAGACAGAGCCAGCCAGACTGCAGGCCACAAACCCCGAAAAGCCCCGCTTGCGAGCTCTCGGGAGGTGGGAGAGGGACACCGCACGCCTGGCTGCCTGACCAGGGTGTGGAGACAGCGGTCAGGAAGGGGCCCCAGGTACCGATGCCACAATGAAACTTCAGGGGTGAGTCAGTCCTGGCCAAGCAGCCGGGAAGCAAGGAAGGGGACCAGCGTGCACAAAGACAGCAGTGAGAAAGGCGCGAGACAGGCCCCTCCGTGTGGCGGTGGCAGGCCTGCTCTGCTGGGCCCTGAACACGGGGACAGAGCTTCCTGACCACAGAGGCTAGGACGTACATAAAGGGTGAGGTTAGAGCCGCTCATTCGGCTCCCTAGGGCAGCATGGCTCCGCGCTGGTTTCTCATTTCTGCTGGCTCTGCGTGTACATTGCCACACCTGTGTGTGCACACATGCACACCTGGATTCCTGGGTGGCGGGGCCCTGCTCCCGCGTCACCTCGGCCCACAGTTACTCCCATTCTGGCTGCTGCTCTGACCACTCCTGGCCTCCTGTTTCCATGGAGATCCCAATTTCCTTTAGTCCCCGTTTTTAGCAAAGTTCATTTTAGTTGCCTATAGACAGGCACTTGTGCCGGGCTGGTTTATGCCACTTGGGCTCTTCTCAAAAAGGCACAAAAAGGAAGACGCCAGGGCCGGCCCAGAGCGCTGCTGACAGCCAGCCTGTGGCGTGTGGCCCTCGCAGCCGCCAGTGAAGAGCAGAGACTGCAGAGCATCTGTGGTGGAGAGGCGTTCCAAACGTCGTAAGTCAGGACTGCACAGGACCGAGCCCGTGCTCCTTCCGGCTCCCAGTCCCTGGCCCCGACAGCTGTGAGTGCTGGACAGAGGGCTGCACTGATGTCCAGCTGGGTGCGTCCTCAGGAAGGCCCCTGCAGAGTGGTGACCCGAGCCCTGACCCACACGCAGAACGGAAGTGAAGCCTCTGTGGTCTGACAGTGGGGTCCTCAGCGTGAGCCTTCTCCAGGGGGCGTCCTCGCCCCGTGAGGACTTACACTCGGCTGTGCCGGGGCTGCGTCCTCGCCTCTCCTGGCCCTGGGCTCCCCTTCCCATGTATCCATTAACAGGACCCTCAGATCAAGGTGACACTGCAGCCTCCTCTGCGTGGAAGGAGGTCTGGGAAGGACCTTCATCACCCCAGCACCAGGGACTGGCCAGGCCACCCTCTGTGCTCGGCACGGCTGCATTTCCTTAGTCCTCCTGATAGTCTCATGAGCATTTTCCTAACCTGTAAACTGAAGCAGTAAGTTACCTGCCTCGCCAAAGCTGTGAGTCTGGGAGCCTGTCCCAGTGTCTGGCTCCAGAGCCCGAACTTTTTTTTTTTTTTTTCCTTTTTAAGTCTCATTAAATTTACCGGGGTGACATTGGTTAACAAAATTATATAGGTTTCAAGTGTTCATTTCTGTAATACATCATCTATGTATTACATTGTGTGCTCACCACCCAGAGTCAGTTCTCCTTCCATCACCGTCTATCTGAGCCCCTTTTTTCCCCCTTACCTCCCCCCTCCCCCTTTACCCTCTGGTAACAACTAAACTGTTGTCTGTGTCTATGAGTTTTTGCTTGTTTGTGTGTTTATCTTGTTCCTTTGATTGCTTTCAGTTTTATAGCCCACATATCAGTGAAGTCATATGGTTCTCGACTTTTTCTGTCTGACTTATTTCGCTTTAGCATGATAATCTCAAGATCCATCCATGTTGTTGCAAATGGCACTATTTCATCTTTTCTTACGGCAGAGTAGTATT